TTCCTAGGCTGAGTTCACAGGGACACTCACTTTCAGATATAAGTGGGTATGTATGTACAGACACACACACACACACACACACACACACACACTCTCTCTCTCTCTCTCACTCACTCACACTCTCTCACCCTCTCTCTCACTGCTGACGCTTGTAGCAAAGCAGATTTTTACTTGTTCTGGTCTGTGTGACTGAGCAGAATTGCCCTTGGGGATTTTCCAGGTTGTACAATGTCTTGGAGAAATTGCAGCTCAAGTTCTCTTTGGAGGCAAAGATGGTAAAGCTTCATTTCACAATTATGGACATGTTAGGAAAGGCTATTCCTTAGCAAGGGATATCATGCTTAGAAAAGTGGAAGGTCAGTGAAGGAGATGAAGACCCTCAACAAGATGGACTGGCTCTGTGACTGCTGGCAGTAAGCTCAAATGTGCTGGCAATTGAGGAGAGGTGCAGGACAGGTCAGGGTTCAAATCCATTGTTCACAGGATTGCGGAGTCATACTCAACCGCATATAACAACAACAACACAGGTGCAGGTCACCAGGTTTTTCTGCTCACTAGTCTTTTTATTAGCACTGGTTATTAATTTATTAACCATTGTTTAACATCTACTCTCATGCACAACTTCACAATATACATGTGCCTAATACCGATCAATGATTTAGACTTAGCCAACACCTCAAAGACCTCATCTCCCCACTGTGCCCTCTTTCCCCCAACTCTGTCTTTACTGTAGTCATTTCCCACTTTGAGTAGAAATCCTTTGATAATATATTATCTTTTCTAACAAAAAATAAGCTTCCTTGTCACATATAAAAATGTGAGTGATTTCAGTTAACCGAGGGGTTGGATAATCCTGTTGCAAACTAGAAAGGGAAACCTAGAGCTTACACAGTATTTTCTGGAGTCCCTGTTAAAAATCTTGTCAACTACTTTGCTTCAGTATTTCCACTTATGAGGCAGTTTCACTGTGTTATGGACAGTCTCCTCCCAGCCTCTGAAGAGCTGCTGGTCAAGTATGAGTCCGTTCTGACTCAATGGCATACAACCACAACAGGTTGCTTATAGGGCAGAAGGGTAGCCTAGTGCTAAGAAACGGCGCTACAATCCCAAAGACATGCGGTTAGAATCCACCAGCTGCTCCGCAGAAGGATGGATAATCTCTTCCCATGTGCTTTACTGCCACTGAAAACTGGGTGGAAGGCTGGTTCAGATTCGACAGTACACAACAACAACAACAACATGTTACTATGAGTTAGAACTGACTTGACAGCTGTTGATTCTGGGTTATCAGTTTTGTAGCTCAATTTAAAACTTGCATTTTCGTGGGCAGGGAGAAAGTGAAATAATGAATAACTGGAAATCCAAAGTCTCTGTAAACTTTAATTAAAATTAATAAAAAACAAAACAAAAACCTCACATTTTCAAAACAGACTTTTAAATGTTGCCACAGAAGTTCTTAAGCAAAAAAATGGGTAATTTTAAGTACGATTAGAGCATATGGGAATCTGAGGCCAGCTCCTACAACTTAACCAAGGCATACAAACCAGTATTCAGGTGACACTCTATCAAAGGAAGAAAAAAACATGTATAAATCTCTTCTCTAGTACTACAACTCAAAGGGATCGATTGCTCCTCTATCATCCTTATTCACTGTCCAGCTCTCAGATGCATAGCTGTTGTTGTTGTTATGTGCCATCGAGTCATTTGCGACTCATAGCGACCCTATGC